CGGCAGTGGATGGCGAACGCACCCCTCGCCGTAGCCGGCGGGGCCAAGGAACCACACGGCGCCCGAATTGTTGGCCAAGTCGAGCCACCTGTGTGCGCCCAGGGCTTGGGCAATGGCAGCGATGGGCTGCTTCCAATTCTCAGGCTCGCGCAACGTCCACACGTATCTGGCGCGCGCAGCCAGGGAACTGTTCAGTAGGCTGGCTGTCTTGGGAACCATCAGCACGAGGTCTGCTTGGTTGGGCTTGAGCACGTGCTGAATGAGGGACCGCTCTGCGAGCTCGCCGCCTCTTATCTGACCGATCAGTGCCACAAGTGTTCTGCCACCGCGCGTCACGTTCCTCGCATGCCGCGTGTGACTCGCTGATGGATCCGTGGCAGACGCGGCCGCCCTGCCGACGAGCAGCGCGGCGGCGGCCACGCGGACATGGGCGGCGGATGGCTCGAGCGAGGCGATTCCGCCGAGATGCAAGGCTACCGCGCCGACGAGGCCCGTCTCGACCAGCCTCCGGGCCTTCCCAGCAGCGTCGGCGGGACACGACTCGGGTACGATGCTGTTGACGGATGGGAGACCCGGCATGGCGCCGCTCCGTCGAGTGTACCTCGCATTCGAGGCCGCGTAGATCACGCCGCACAGGCCGACCATTGCGACAAAGAAGAAGAAGAAGACGATCTGAGTGCGGCAAGCACCGGCGGTCGTCAGTGCCATGCCCTCGTTCTCCTTGGCGCGCCTCGAGCGCTTCTTGCCGTCCATCTTGTAGCCTCTCCACTTCAGAGCCACGACAGAGACGCCCAAGCACCCCACGAGGGCACCCATGAGGAGGGGCCAAAGAGAGCTGCCGGCCGTGTCCGTCTCGGCCATGAAGATTTCGGCCTGTGGAAAGGCAGGCGCGGGCGACAGTCCGCCAGGCGCGCTGCGAAGAGGCGCGAGGAGTGATAGAAGCGAGTGGCTTGGCAGGGCACGCAGGGGAGGCCGTGCGGCAGGCAGGGGCAGGGGGGAGACGGGCTGGCGATGCGGTGCTCGGATCGCCTGGTCCGCCCCCTCCTCCTCGCCCTGCTCGACCTCGAGCGTGAAGGAGTCAGCGCAGATGCAAGAGGCGCAGCGTGGCCGCGAGCCGGCGAGGTCACTTGAAATGGAGAAGAGATCGGTCGACTCAACCGTCTTCGAGTCGGCGATCTGAGTGGCGCAGACCTCCGCGGGCCGCGCTAGCTCCTCCAGCCACGCCTCGCTGCGCTGATCCTCCGCCACCTCGGTCTTTGGCGGAACCGGCAGAGGCATGGGCACCGCCTCAGTCTCGGACCACCGGGCCGGGATGGGCAGCGACGCCTGGGCCTTGCCAGAGGCGGCCCAGCAGCCTGGTGGCTCCTCGGACTCGAGCGCAAAGCGCCGTTCCGCCGTGGCGGGGCGGGTGCGCACCTGGAGCGGCCAAAGGAGCGAGTGTTGATGCAGGGCAGACAGGGCAGGCAGACCGGGCAGCGGCTGC